GGAACCCCTGTGTGGCTGCGAGAGTGCCAATATCTCAGTGGCAAAGGAGAGGCCAGGCAGGGAGAGCTGTCTGGGAATGCACAGACGCATCGTCTGCTCGTACAGAGCCTCCTGACTCCGGCTCCTAGATACGTCCTCGCTAGGAGACCAGGTTAAGGGAGAGAGAGTGACCGGTTCGTGCTCAAAACACGAGCAGCGAGAAGAAACCAAATGTTTCCTCAGAGACTTTAGAGCTCCCTTTTATAATCAGAAAAGCCCTGGCGGGTCCCCGGTGCGGTTGCGGCGCTGCTCAAGGGCCCCCGAAAGCGGAGCAGCGGCTCAGCCACCGTTCCTGCACAGACTGCAGAGGATGTCTGAATGCATAATACAACACCAGGGTGCTCAATAATTTATCTGTCACCCAGAAAAAGGCACACTTAAACATACTCGGATCCAGCCGCTGCTCTTTGCTCTGAACTTTTCCCTGTCTGGCGGAGCAGTCCCAGTCCGCAGGGCGCTCCAGAAGGCAGCTCGCTCGCTGGTTGGGGTTTGAGATTTCCTTTGTAAAAGGAATGGAGCAGAGTTGGGCATTTCATATTTCAGAATTAACAACCAGGTAGTTCCGAAGGCATGAAGCAAACCAGTTTCTCCGTATCTCTTTCCATCTCGGCTTTAAATGTTTCTGCTAAATCCTGCTCTGTCCCATTGTACCTCTCTCATTACTCTGAAGGTAAAATCCTTGTCACTAGTTCTTTCCCAGAAGTTGATTATCAGCATGTTGGTTCCAGGACAGACACGCTTCTAAAACAGTGTTAAATCTCATCCGGAAAGTTGGATTTTAATAACCGATTGTTTTAGCTGTGCTGTGGGAGCTGCGAACTTCCTAAGTGGTGGCGCTGAGCACCCCGGCTGGCTGCTTCCCGCCCCGTATCCCTGCCACCGCGGAGCAGCGTTAACGCCGTTTCAGCATCTGTCTGGGGAATGGGGCCGGGCAGTCTTGCAGGGTGATTTTAAAGCGCTCTGAAGTTGCGGGGGGCTGTGTAAGTGCAAAGTGGTGTTTGAGTGAAGAACGCGGTGACACTCTGCCGGAGAGAAGGAGGCGGCGTGTGCATGAGGTGATGTATTATTCAGTGCTCGCAGATGTCTTTAACTTTTCTCAGTTTGAGACGGGCCACTCGCGCAGAGCAGCGAAGGGCCGTGGTCGTTGCTGCTTATCCAAAGTGACATGTCTTCCAGCTCCTTCCGAAGCGCCTCCGAGAGAGAGTAGCAGTGACTTGACAGGAGTCCAGCTTTGTTCCCTTTCCAGCCCCGGCGCTCCCCAGGGGCTGGAATGCAGAGCCGCTCGCGCAGGGACCCAAAATTGCCGTTAGGAATCGAGCTGTGGTCAGGGCCAGCTCTTGCAATTGTTCCTGTGTTGGAAAGGACGCGGCAGCGTCTCTGGCCTCGCCTGGCCCCGTGGATTCCCCCCTCCCACAGGTCGGGCTGCAGTCTCGGGGCTTTTTTCCTCCCAGACAGGGCCTGGCTGCTGCAGCCTCCTGGTTTCAAGGGAGCTTTTGCCTTGGACAAACCTAATCTCACTCAGGTCCTGAAGGAAGCAAAACTGCTGGGGCAGTGGCAGTGGTTAATACAGCGACGAGCCCAGCTCCTTGGGGTCCCTTGGAGATGGCAAAGCTGGGGACTGACAGATCCCTGGTTTGACCTGTTCTGGCATCCTCCTTCCTTGTTTGTCTCGTGGGTGTGCCTGGCTGCGCGGTTCCTGAGCATAGTCCCCTCTGTGTACGGAGGGGAAAATCTTAATACAATGGCTGGCAAGGCTGCGTGAAAACAGGCTTCAGACCTCAACACTTTGTTCACACCTGACCGGCTCCCGTGATTGTCCCAACGCCCCGCACTGCCAGCCCTCTGCAGCTGTGACAAAAAGCAGCCGTTTCCCTTTCTGCTTTCCTGTTGCACCACTTGGTGCTTGGCCGGAGTCGGGCAGCCCAGAGAGGGCGTAAATACCAGCTCCCTGTCGGTGAAGGGAGCAGACGCCGCTCTCAACTGCGCGGGCTGAGAAGAGGCTGATCCACAGCCGACAGCATGATCAGATCCTGGCGCTTTGTGGTTTGAACGATGTTTGCGTGGTGCAAAATGTCGAGCCCCTGTGAACTTCGCAGCCGTCCCTACGAATGAGGCTGTCGCGGTGTGGGGAAGTGCCGGGTGGCTCCAGGGATCCCAGGAACTGCTCCCTTTTGGTACTCGGGCCTCCGCAAAAACACCCTGAGGCCCCTTTCCCTGCTGCCACGGCGTCTCCGTGGGGTTTGCCATCTGCTGCTTTGACCGCTGGCTGTAGCTGCCAGCTTGGCTTTCCATGCTGAGAGCGTGTTCTGGGTGACTGACTTTGGATTGAAATGACACTTTCTAGCGACTTCACGGACCCTCCTGCCCCTCTGAGCCTTTTGTGGCCTGTTCTTCTTTGCCTGCAGCGAGCATGAGGGAAGGGGGTCTGCGCCTGTGCTGACGAACCTGGTGTGCGAGGGGGAGGTGGGGCAGGAGGGAGATCCCTAGATGCATTTGCTTCCGAGAGGAGGCTTTTTGGCAACCTAAGAGCCAGCGTTAGCCATTTGCTCAGGAGTTATTTAGAACAGACAGGATCTGGCTGATTTGGCAATAGGAATGTTTGCCCTCAGAGGTGGAGAGGAGAAGGGGTATTGAGTGCATGTTTCCTTTTTGCAAGAGCAGTGATCGGTCTGGGTTGGGTGCCTCAGTTGAGTAAGACTGCAAGATATGAGGACTTGTCCCAGCTAATCTTGAGGTCTGAGGGTCCCCTTCGTGTCTCCCCACAGGTGATGCACTGGCCAGTTTGCAGATGTTGCTCCAATTGACGTAGGACCCAAGTTGCTTGGGCCAAGGATGAGCAAGCCGACAGACTTGCAGCACGACCTGGAACGAAGCCTCCCAGCCATAGCGTCCATCAGCACTTCGTTTTCCCAGAGCCAAGGCTTTTCTCCATATTGTTATTTCTCTCCGGAGAAGAGGAAAGCCATCTCAGACGTGAGGAGGACCTTCTGCCTCTTTGTCACCTTTGATCTGCTCTTCATCTCTCTGCTGTGGATAATTGAGCTGAATGTAAGTCAGGGGAAGCAAATGCATGGAGTGTTTCCCCTCTTAACGTTACACTTTTTAAGTTCCAGTCCATCTGCATTAATTGCTCCATTTCAGAAGTCCTGGTCCCAGGCTTTGTCTGTTCTTCCTGATGCTCTACTGATTTGCTCCGGCTGAGAAACGAGTGCGCAGTTAGTATGAGCTGAAGTGCAGCTCATTTCCTGCAACCAGGCTCTTCTGCGACTGTCCAGAGTCGTTAACAGCATTGCGTGTAACGCTGTATGTCAATAGTGTAACAAGATCTGTGGCAAATGGAATTGCCAGGTTGAGCAGTTGGCCAAATTTCTCTCCTGCTCCCCTTGCCTTAAGTGAAGCTTCCTTCTGCGTTTACCAAGTAGCTGCCAACTTTGCTGGAGCTTCTTGCTCTCAAAGCATTGGCGGAGTGAGGTAGGATGCGTAGATAGACCTTCCTCTCACCCACCCAGCTGCTGGGCAAAAACAAAACTGGCTTTGAGCGTTGGTCCCAACATACTGTTACTAATCTCAGCTTCTGAAAACCGGAGATGCGGCTCAGCCATCGGGGCGGACTAGTGAAGGGCACCACAAGTGGTTTTGGTTCTCTCTGACTCTGCTGTCACACCTGTGCCAGGCTGCTGTGTTTGCTCAGTGTGTGAACTGTTGCAGTGAACAGGGATATCCAGTTTATTCACTTCTTTCCCATCAGGTTGAAGTTACTCCCTGGGCTGTCTATTTTTTTCTGAACTGGTCCTGACTAGTTTCAGCTGTGTTGGTGACGGGTTTCAGGCTGCAGGTACTGCGTGTCCTACCGTGGAAAAACCTGAGCAGAAAGGCAAGATGAACAGATAGACCCCACCACTTCTGCAAGCAGCCTTCCTGGTGTCTGGCCTTTATTTATCAGAACTGGATCCTGTGCTCGCTTTAGCGACTCTTATCTCTGTCCTGTTTATCTCGTGCAGTGTCTGCACTTAACAGATTGTCTCGGCCAGCAGTTCACTTGCCCTGCCTGTTGCAAACAGCAGCACGGTGTCGAGAGCCTGAAGAGACCCCCCACCCCCCTTGCGTAGGAAAAAGCGGCTCTGGGCCAGCATTCCAGCGATGCCGATGGTATCGCGTGCACCCCCCTCGGACCCCGGCCTCGTGCTCTTGTCTCTGTTGTTCTCTGGTGGGGTGCTTGTCTACAAATCAAAAAATCCAGCCCTAGGGAAATAATGTGGTAGCTTGGTCACCAGGGTAATTCTGAGCGTAGGTCTCGCAGGTATCCATTAATGAGTGACTAACCGGTGATATTTGGGCCCTGAGCGGAGATGCTGCATATTTAAGGCTATTAGGACAGCTTATTTGCCTAGTTATGAAGAGCGACAAGTTTATGTCGTGACTAATGCTTTTTTTATCAAATGGTTCCCTTTGCTGCAAGATAAGCTGAGCAAATCAGCCCTCGTTAAATGCCTGCTGCCTGCAAGCTGTAATTCTGCGAGCTTGCTCCTCTCAGAGATAGAGATGCCTCAGACAGTTCTTGCTCGTTCAAGGCAATGGCGTTTGTTTAAACTGAAACGCAGCCCAGAAATTTTGATCCAAAGCCCTCGTTGTGCTTGTTCCTTGGGTAACATCTCATATTGGAGATCTAATGTTGTTGGGAAGAGGTTTTCCATGGCAGCTCAGCAAAGCTGGCTAGCTTGAGCCCTGTAGCCACAGATCAGATGAAGCAACAGTGCAGAACTGCTTTGCCCCCCTTTCCCTGAATATTAAGCACCAGCCCTGACCTGGAGGGACTACTTCCCGATGGCTGCCTCTTCTGTCCTTGGACTGTCTGACAAGAGGGTGCCAGGACACCAGGCTGCCAAGAACTGGCCTGAGATCCACCAACTTGTTTCTCACAGATCATCAAACAGCTGTCAGCATATACCAGCTTCCAGGCCAGCTGGGCTGTGTTCAAACCAATAGCCTAAAGGTGAAACATTTGTTCCAGTTACCTGAGCCATCCACTTCCTCATAAACAGCAGTTCCAAGCTCCCGAGAACAGGATTTATGGTGTCAAAAGTACCAGGACTGTTAGGCCCCTCACTGTCTAGGAGCGAGGCAAGAAAGAGCTTGTGCAAGCCTTTTCCACGCTCCCATACAAGATGCGGTTTTGCCTCTTTTAGATTTCCTTGCAGTCTGTGTGCGTTTGTGCATGTCTCTAGTCCTCCTCTGCTCCCCGTTCCCCTTTGCCAATGCTTCCAAACCTGCTGGTTGACTTCCTCTGTCGGATTTCCCGGAGGGCGATTCGGTACTGCTGGGTTCCTGCTAGCTGTAGGAAGCCAGCTGGCCTGGAAGACAGGAGAGGGGACCCCTTAATGCTTTGTACAAAGAGGATGATTGCAGCTTAAATTCCACCATGTTGTTGAGTGACCCCTGAGAGCCCGCACAGGAGAGATGTTTTGAATGTCCAGCTCTGGGAGAAGCTTTGCTCAGCGACTGTGTTACCGAAGTCGTTAGAGAAGCTGTTTCCTATGGCTTTTTGTTTGCTCGACGTTTCTTCCCCTATAGCTCCAGTCTGTCACCTGAAACTACATGTGGAAGCAATGGGCACAAGTGGGAGGTGTTGTCCAACTGGCCTGCAAGGAATCCAGGGCCTTAGCCTGTGAGGGTTGTGATCCGGTGGCAGTAGATGGGCCAGGCCAAAGGAGCTCGTTGTTAGCGTTAGAAAGCCTCCACGTAGAGGTGTTTAATGTACCTATGTGCTGCTCCAGCTCTGACTTCCTGATTCCTGCTCCTTGGTGTGAAACAGAGGATGAAATCGACTGTTGTATCTTCCCATGGCCCTATGTTTGCAGATGAGCCCATGTCATGCATGCAGCAGGCATTTATATGCCTGATGCATAACCTGACCTGAGAGTAACCTCCGGACCCTGCTTGGTCGGGTTTTTCCTGTCATTAGTTTCTTATCATTGCGCTCAATAGCTCTTTGTTGTTTCCTGTCTCCCATTCAGACCAAGGATGGCATTCAGAAGAACTTGGAGAATGAAATCATCGAGTACAATTTTAAGACTTCTTTCTTTGATATATTTGTGAGTATCACAGATCGCCACAGGTGAGGAAATAGCCCTTAAGCAAGGAGTGGCGCAGCAGTAGCGGTGCAGGGAGGGTCAGCACACCAGAGAGCTGGATTCTTTCTGCAGCCTTGCTGCTGGCCTGGCTCAGTGAAATTGGGTAGTTCACAGTCCGTGCGGTTGCACTGTTGACTTTGTCCGTCTGGGTGGCAAAATCTTGTGTCTCTGTCCACACAGCACCTGGCACAGGGGTGAGGACAGTGACTAGAATCAATAGCTTTTTTTTTTTTTTTTTTTTTAAAGGTCTTGGCTTTCTTTCGATTTGTTGTATTGCTGCTGGCCTATGCGATCCTGAAACTGCGCCACTGGTGGGTCATAGCGGTAAGAAGGCAATTTTCTGCTTTTCTGTTCTCAGTTTTCTCCCTCTGCCTAAAGTTTGCAGGGGTCTGAGATATGTGATTTTATTTTTCAGGTCACTACATTGGTATCCAGTGCCTTCCTGATTGTGAAGGTCATCCTCTCTGAGGTTGGTTAGCCCTTAGGCTCACAGGGGATTGCTTTGTGATTACTTGATGCTGCTATTTTCCGTCTTGTGTAAACTCCCTGTGGTTTTTGCTCTCTTCCCTTCAGCTTCTGACCAAAGGGGCTTTCGGCTACTTACTTCCTATCGTCTCTTTTGTCATTGCTTGGCTAGAGACTTGGTTCCTGGATTTTAAAGTCCTAACTCAGGAAGCAGAAGAGGAACGATGTAAGTACTTTGCTCCTCTCTGGTTGGAGTTGGCAGATTAAACTACCAGGCCTGGGGTTTCTGCTGCTTTGGCAGCACCTTGACAGAGATGACATTTATGGGGAAGTGATCTCCAGGCTGGCTGTGATAGTAAGCGCCTGACTCAATTTTGTTATGGTATATAAGTCCCTTCAGGGGAAGAAAATACCAGATTATAAAAAGCATCTTTTAATTGAGTGGAGAAGAGGATGCCAAATTCCCCAATGTCTGAATACTGAAGCCAGATGAATTGGAAGTAGAGCTCACCTCTGCATCAGCTAGAGTTTTGAAATATTGGGACAAATGCCAGCAGGACTGTTGGACTGTCTCTCTCCTGATATCTGTCTTCGGATTTGGGTTGGAGACCTTTTAAAAAGGTGTGCTTTAGTCAAAGGTACGTTACAGGGGCTCAGTGTGGGTTATGGTGGGTGAAATTTTACAGCCCCTGGTTGTTGAGGTCAGACTAAAAGGAGGTTGAGTCTTTCTGACCTAATGCGTTACGAATTACAGTGAATTTCTGGGCACCCGTAACTTCCAAGGATCCTTCTGGGGAGGGATCCTCAGCGTGGACTAACAGAGCTGCCTCTTCCTAAAGCAGCAGTGCTTATTATAGGCAAAGGAGTTTGTCTTTCTCCCAGTCTTAGCTGATGAAAGACGACTGGGAAATGGCACGTAAACGAAGAAATATTTGTCAAGTGAGACTCGATCAGAAATGCATTGACTGACTGGAAAACACCAGGGGATGTTTGGGTCGTGCAAGGAGGCTTTAAGATGAAAAATGATCAACTGTTTAGTGCCTCTATTGGATTAGGCTCAGGTTCCAAATTGCTTCCAGGGGAAGCTCTTATTTAATTAGATGCTTAATCGCCTTTGGATTTGACAGTCAAAAGAGCCTATTGATCTCCGTGCAGATAAAATGTCTCAAACAAAAGATGAGGCAATAGGAGCTGAAAACCTTGTGAGCTGGCTGATGTCAGGGCAAAAAGACCAGCTGTGTCTGGAAGAAAGTGGCTGGGAGAGTGGTTAACATTGGTGGATTTGGTAGAGGGAAGGACAAGGGCTCCAGGACCCTATGGTGTTGAAGTGTTGGACGTTACATATGTGAAACCCTCGTGTTTTGGTTCCCAGGGTACCTGGCAGCTCAGGCCGCAGCTGCTCGAGGCCCCCTGCTCTACCCTGGAGCCCTTTCGGATGGGCAGTTCTACTCCCCGCCAGAGTCCTTCGCAGGTAGCATGTGCTTTTGCTTCCCGTTCTGCCGTAACCTTTCCGGGAGCTGGGCTGAGTTGCTTGCCAAGCTTATTCCCCTTATGACATTCCTGCAGGGTCTCCTCACCCCTATTATCGCCTCCTCTCTGAGCTCTGTCTCATTAGCCCAGCCCTTGGCAGCAGCGGGTGGCAGGGCCTCCAAGAACTGACACTGCAAAACAAGCTCCCCTCTCCTTGCGCGGCGCATGTGCCTGGGCAGAGGAGGCAAGGCCGTGCTGTCTCACTGCTTCTGTGCCATCTGTGGATTGGAGTCAGAGTTAGCTCTGCATGCCCAGCTTGAGCCCGATGGGGAAACTGGAGCATTTTGTGGTCTTAGGATTAAAAGCTCTTAGCTGTGGCTAAGGCACTTGAAAAACACTGCCCTCAGGATGAGGGCGCAGGGACAAGTGACCACGAGCAGGTGAGGATAAGAGTTGGCAGTGCTCCACTGCCCTGCGATACTGCCTCTTGCGTGCTCCAGAGATCTCCCCCGCTCAGGAGCAGGGAGACGTCAGCTGGAGCAGTTGTCTCGGAGTAGCTGACACCCGGTTTGTGCCCAGCCGGGCAGCAGAGCAGCGTGTGTCAGCCTGCCGTGGAGGAGAGGTATCTAGGGCAGCGTTTGGGGTGGCAGGCCCTGGGATGTGTTGGAGTCGCGCCCGCTGTCAGCCCTTCCCATCAGATAAGGTGCAGGGGTCTGGTGCTGCCTGTCCCTTACAAAAAGGTTGAAGAGAGACTGGACAAGTAGGATCTTTAGCTCCCTCTGTTAATTGTGTGCTTCCCCTAGGATCGGACGAGTCAGATGAGGAAGGCGCAGGGAGGAAAGCATTGACAGCGCAGGTAAACAGCACAGCCTGATGCTGCCTATCCCTGCCCCGTGAGCTCCAAGGAGCTCCCATCCCATCAGCATCTGGCTGATGCAGGGCTATGGGCTGTGAGGGTATCTGACAATCTCGTGGCCCCGTCAGGGTGCTATATCTGCAAAGGGCCAGAAGTCCTTGTCCCTTGTTTCACAACTCTTTGTTCTGAGGGAATCTGGCTAATGCGCTCTGCCTTGACCCTCAGCACCAGGCTGTTCCCCAATGGCTAGTTGTGGCTGTGGGGGGAGGGGGGGGGGGGGGGGGCATTTGGGGGCCTTAACCAACTTCCCCAGAGTCTTGGGCTCTCCTCTGCAGCATCCCGTGGAGGTGTGATTCTGGCTCCATCTCCTGCCTGTCTCCTCCTCCCCTTTGGTTCCTGGTTATGTGGTTGCATGCCTAAAGGGGTATGGTCTCAACCATCCTAGCTGAATTCTAGCTAGCAAGGCAAGTTTTCGCTGCCCTGAGGTCTGGCTGGGCGCAGGCTGCTTTGTGCTATTTTCCGAGTGGTTCTGTTGCTGTACAGCTTCAGATCTGGCACTTTAACAGAAGGAAGCTCAGCACATCTCATAGCCCTTTGCCTGCTGGAAACCCTTACGTGAAGGCAGGAGACACGCTGGTAGACACAGCTGGTGTGTGGATAAGAGCCAGGGCGGGGAGTGTGACTTCAAGCTCCAAAATGAGGCCTCTGTGACCTGAATTAAGAGATTTCTGCAGCGTGGTGATGGGAGTTATCCCTTTTCCCTCTGCCAGCCCTGGGCAGGGGAGCAAGCCTTGCGCATTTCAGGCTTACAGTGAATCCAGCTAGTGAAATGCTTCCTTCTCTTTTAGGAGAAAGAATATATCCAACAAGGCAAAGAAGCGATGGAAGTTGTGGACCAAATCCTAGCCCAGGAGGAGAACTGGAAGTTCGAGAAAAACAATGCAAGTGTCCCCCCACCCCGCCTTGCCAGCAGCATTGCCTGCAGAAAGCACGGATGGCTTAGCAAAAACTGGAGGACAAATGGGGCTTTTGAAACCTCCTTGCGACATGAAAAATTAACAAGCGTTACAATTACCTGATTGAATTAGGAATCAATTCCAGTTCAGTTAAATGTAAAATCCCCTCTTATTTAATTAGATGTTTAATTACCTTCCTGTTTGACAGGAGAAAGCCCATCACTCCTCCCTCTGGACAGCAGGCGGGCAGGGGCGGACAGCTCACCTTGGGTAGCCGTTAGGATGCGTAGCCGCGTTTGGCGGCATAGGGAGGAGTGGAGGCGTGCTGGCCCGTACGGCAGCAGCGCTGGAGAGGCCCGCTGCCGCAGCTTTTGCCTGTGCTCCACAGCAAGAAGCTTTTGAGTGTGCTGAGGTCTGGGGAGACTGTGGCCAAGTTGAGGTCTGGCCTTTTTCGTCTGCTTTGGTTCACATGGGAGCAGCAGTGTGCGAGGCACAGATTGTTCTTCCTGTACCGTCCCCCAAAGCTGCTCCTGTGTCCCCTTTCCCAGGAAAAGGACCTTGTGGGTGGTGGAGTGTAAATGGGGACATGTCTTTGCATTACATCCTCTGACTTGACTGTCACTTTGCAAGTGGCACCTCTTACTTCAAAAAGCACAGAGGTGCACAAAGCAAAGCAGGCCCTGCCCTGCCCTGCCTGTCTCCTCACTCCATTGCCCGTTCCCTGAGCTACGGTAGAGTTTTCTGGGGGGGTCTTCTCTCTGAAGGGTGGAGAGAAAGGGGCAATCTCTCTGCCCCCTAGAACCAACCTTGCTTTCTGCTTGTGGGCTCGCAGCATGATTGAGGTGAGAGTCCTGCAAACTGCAGTCTCATCTGGTGTTTAAAATTCCCCTGTCAAGTGATCCATTGTTTGATGCCAAACTAGCTGGGCAGATTGTTTTCTTTATCCAAAGGGGGATGGATTTAAATAGACTAATCAGAGTTTAACACAGGCCTAATGATGAAAGGTTATCATCTGTCCATCCCTAACCCCTCCAGGGAGTCTCCTCTCAGATGGAGGTAACAACAGCAGTGTTGGCAAACTATCCCCTCTCTCTTACGGTGGTGTTGGTAGCTTGCTGCAAAGAGAGTTTGACCTTGAAATGGAGTTTGTAGGTTGGCATGAGATAGATTCTTTCCCTGCCTCATCACACTGCTGCCTCTCTGGGTGTCGTTTTGTTCATGGAAATTGTGCACGTGCATCTGAAATGCTTTCATTGCGGTTCCAGTACTGGGGCTTGCTGCCTTGTACGGGGGAACTGGGAACAGCTCAGGGCTGAAGTTGGTCCTTCAGAACAACATGTCGGGCAGCCTGGCTCCTGGAGCCACAGTGCAGTGTTTGGAGACTAGCAGACTTTACCCCGCATAGGAGCAATTAATTTTCTTTTGCCAGCATAAATGTAACCCTCTCATTTCTTGCACAGGAGTTCGGTGATGTTGTTTACACTTTTGAAATACCTTTCCATGGCAAGACCTTTATTTTAAAGGTAAGAACCTTTTGAATCAATTCCTTAATCAGTGTGGTACAGACAAAAACTGACTGCTCTACTTGGAACCACAGTTCAGTTGAGGTTTCACGCTCTCTCCTGGCTCTGGCAGGACAGGTCAGTCTGCAAAGCACATTGTCTTTGCTTGAGGCAGATGAACTGCACTGCACGCTCTAGGGAATCTCTCCAGGAAAACCCCTTGGCTGGCAGACAACCTCCCCAGCAAATATGCTGGGCCCCCCGTCTCTGCTGGTAGAAGTGGGAGCAGGTGACTGCAAGACTCGCTTCCAACCCCAGCATCTAGGACTAATCTGACCAAGGAGGCTAATTGCAACTAATTGCCAGCAAGACCAGGGCTGAGCGTGCGTCTGCTGCTGCCTGGCATTGAGAAGAGCTGCTCGGAAGTGCCTCGCTCTGTGCCCTCTCGCTGGAGAGGCTTGGCTGTAAACCATGCTTTAATGAAGCATTGGTGCTGCGGTGGCTTTTCTTTGTTCCAGTGCATATGTTGCCTTGCTGGCAGGAGCTGCCAGTGGAGCAGCTCTGTATTCGAGAGGAAAAACTGGATGGTCCCACTTTACTGCATTAACCATTTGCCTCTGAAGAGCCTCTGTCCCATGGGGATGTGGAGGAATGAACGTTGCCTATGCTAAAGCTCAGAGTAGCTTTTCAACAACTTGCCAGCGTGATTGCACACACACCAGAATTGCTGATAAACTGGGATGAGGGTGGAAGAAGAGCCAGCCTGGTCAGCCAGCCCCAAGGTCTGTCTGACTCGGCACGTTACAGACCAGTGCTTACTCCTTCGTATACCTGGCGTAACAGCCCTTCCACCCAGCGCGCTGCACAGATTGCAGCAGGCGGCGATTTAGCGGTTACCTAAACCTGAGGTCTAATCTGTCTTCTCTGACTCCCCGCGTGCTCTCCAGGCCCCTGGGAATGAGAGCACCGTGGCAGTGGGGCAGCCCAGCTCAGGGTAAAGATGCGCTGAGGAAGCAGCCTTGGCTCTGCATGCACTCGAGCCAGGCCAGCCTTGCTCCTCCCCGCCTCTTTTATCGCAGTTGTTCATTGTGGTCTGTCCTGTGCTCCTTAAAAATAATCTTACCAAAGAGGAGCAGGGGACTGGCCAACTGCTCTGGCTCTGTCCTCAGGCTTTTCTGCAGTGCTCTGCCGAAACAGTTTACCAGGAGGTTATTCTCCAGCCTGAGAAGATGATCCTGTGGAACAGAACAGTGGCAGCTTGCCAGGTGAGCGTGCCGGACAAAGATGGCTTAATCACAGGAGCTCCTTGGAGCGGAGAGTTGGAGCTTCCCAGTCCAACACCGGCTGTCAGTGGTGCCCAGGCCCTGCTGGAGCTTAGCTGGATCTGAGTCACTGAGGCGTTAAATCTCTGCTGTTCACTCCATACGATCCGAATGCTCTGCGGTAGCCAGCTGCATGGATGTGCCCATCCAAAAGCCCATGAGGTGGGCAGGGAGATGGGCCAGCGACTGAGCCAAGCCTGCTTTTGCTCGGTACAGTTTGGGCGTTTTGTGCTGCTGGTGTGGCAAGGATCCGAAGGTGGTGCTTGTGCCCTCTTCGGAGGGGCCAGCCCTGAACAGGGAGACAAACCCATGCGTGTGCTTGCGGAGAGCTCTGCCTCCAGCCCCGGAGCCTCAGATCAGCTATTAAAGATGCTCTGGCTGCTTTGAGCCCTGGTGCTGTTTTAAGGGAGGGTCTTTATCTCCCTGCTGAGCTGCAAGTATAGTCTGAGGAAATCTCTCCTCTTTCAGATCCTGCAGCGGGTTGAAGACAATACAATCGTCTCCTACGATGTAGCAGCTGGGGCCGCAGGCGGCGTTGTTTCACCCAGGTCAGTTTATTTTGCTGTCTGTTTGTACTGAGCCCCTGAGCATCATCCTAAAATATAGAGAGAAGCACCTGACTGTCGTGAGAGCGCTCCGCCTGAGCGGTGCCGCTGTTTGCTGTGTGGGCTGTCCCAGCATCAAAGAGGCAGGGCGGGCTGGCTGTGTGGGTAACTCTCCCGAAGGTAATGAGCCCCTGAAGTGACCTCCAGAGGTTTCTGGCAGGAGTCTCAGAGCTCAGAATTTGTCTGGGTCAGTTAGTCCATCTCCCTGATGGCAGCGCTACGCTCCACGTGTACTACGCTCCACTACGTTTTGTCCATGTGTTGACATACCTTTGCTACAGCCTTTCCCAGCAGTCTGGAGTGTCTGCTCTGCTCCATCAAAGTCCTGTGCACGTTCTGAAGCAGTCAGTGCTCTTTCTCTGCCTAGGGACTTTGTGAACGTGCGTCGTATCGAGAGAAGAAGAGACAGGTACGTTTCCTCAGGGATGTCAACCACGCACAGCCTGAAGCCTCCACTCTCCAAATACGTCAGGTAAGAGGTAGATTCTATTTTTTAGCTGGTATTTGACACACGCCCTTTGCTTAAGCTTAGGGCAAAGAGCCACTTAAATGAAAACCCTGCTGTCTTTTTGGCACCGTTCGGAGGAAGCTGATCTATTTGTGGAGCTAAACCTTGCTTCCCTTTTTCTTCTTCCTTTGTTAGAGAAACTCTCTGTGCTGTTAAGTGTTGCTCGGGCGTTTCCCAGCTCTCTGCTCTGGGGAGTGCAGGTGCCAACCAATAACAGCACAAACCCTAACCAAATCCGCATCCTGTTTATGTAGCAGTTAATTCCCGAACAGGGACGGCTGCCATTTCTGAGGGGCAGTAAACAGCTGACTGTGTCTTTCTTTGAGCCTCTTGGATGCCTTTTGCTTTTCGTAAGCCAGTCGCTTACTGACTTTAAAGGCTGAGAACATGGAGAGATGGTCTCGTGGGTGAAAAAAGGCACCTTTAAGATGGACTGACTCCCAAAGTATTGTCAGGTCTTTGGCCTCTCCCCTTCCAAAGGGACCATTAGCTGGTGATGGATCTCGGTGGGGCTAGAGTCTCATCAAACAAGGACTCCTTGTTACTGTCTGCTCCAGCGCCCGGGGCTCAGCTGTGCCACTTCTCTCACTGACTTTGTTTTTCCTAATAATCCGGTTAAAGTAATTGACATTTTAACTCAGAGCCGTTATAGCTGCCTCAGTCTATTTAAGAGCTGGGGACTTCAGGGCCTAGAAAATGTTTTTACAAATGTATGCAGCAAAAATAGTTTGTGTTCCTGAACAGGGAAGGGAAATCTGTATTTGGGCTGTGTGTGTGAGCAGAGCTTTTGTCTCTGAGACGCATCAGATGGTGCCAGGAAGGATCTGGGGGAAGTGAGGACAAGGCTCTCCACGCTGAGCCAGTCCCGCTTGCCAAAGCTTTCTTTGGGCGCTCAGCATTCATGAGACCTGTTTGTTTGCACCCACTTCTGCCAGGTTGGGCCTTTGAAGCCCGCCCTCGGTGAGGAGCTGGTATCGGTTGGACTGGCATGATTCAGAGGCCGAGGCTGCTTCGTGCCCTGCGGCAGTCCTGGCACCTCCATTGCCAAGGCACCTGTGGGAAACCTGCCTTGCCGCGTTTGCTCGTGTGTCTGCAGCCAAACCAGACACCTTCCCGGGCACTCTGCACATCTGTTCTTACCCTGCTGGGCTCCAGCCCTCGCTGCCAGGCGGAGGGGGTGGCTGTTACAGGAGCTAATGCGGGATCAGTGCGGTGCAGCCCAAAGTGTTAGAGGGTTGCTTTTCAACCAGCCTGCCAGTCCCCCGTTGGATTTTGTGCTGCTCTTTCTCCGCAGGGGTGAGAACGGGCCTGGAGGATTCATCGTGCTGAGGTGTCCAAGCAACCCCAGGGTCTGCACTTTCATCTGGATTCTCAACACGGACCTGAAGGTAAAGCGAGTTCTTTGCTGATGTGTGAGCGCTGTGCCTGTATCCTCTCCCCAGCAGAGCTCCTTGCAGCACAGGCAGAATTAATCAGCACGCTCTGAAGTCCCCTGCGTAGCACAGGACGCTTGCTGAGGACCTTCTCTGTACCCCCAGGTGGGCAATGCAGGGGCTGCAATCCTGTTGGCCACTTCCGAAAGCAGCCAGCGATTAGTCACAGTTGTTATCAACGGCGGCCCTAAACGGGCTTGAGTTTTGTTGGTAGATGTTAAGCAGTACCTGAAAATCACCCTCTTTCTCCTTGAAGTTACCCCAGTTTGAGGTCTGGAAACTGTTCCTTACCTGGCAGAGATCTTGGTTATGGGTTTCACATCGCTGTGTGCGGGACTGGGGGAGAGGTGATTTTTATCCTCTCTGGGGACCAAAAACAGTTGGACATGTGAGGTGTTGTCTGGCTGCTTGCTGCTCCCAGGAACCTGCTGAAGGGATGATTCACTCGCCCTTGCCTGCCCTGCTACCAGACACCTCAGTACAAACACAGCCACCCGTGGAGCGCGCGGGGCTGGTGCCTGCTTGCAGGGAAACGCGCTTCAGCCGTAGATGACCCAGATCCGGAGTTATTTGTGGAGCTGCGTGTTGAGTCCTTGCTGGTGGCCTAGACAAAAGGCAGTGTACGACGGGAGCTGGGGTCAGGCGGATCGGGTCGGAGAGGGAGAGGCGCTGGGTAGAGCTGGCCTGTTTTCTTCCTCCGCTGAATTGTGCTGGGGTTGACGTGGAAACCGCGCTGCAGCAGCGAGCACAAAGGCTCCATTCATCAGCGCTCTGCCTGCAAAGCTGCACAGCCCCCTCCCCTCCCACGTCCCTCCCCTCCCACAAAGTAGATCAAGCTACTGCGTTGCTTGTAAAATGGTTTGAAAAGGGTTTGCAAAAGCTCTTGCCTTGGCAGCTTCCTTGGCTGGGAAGTGGAAAGCAGGGGCAGAGCAGAGAGCAGGCGCGCCTCGGCCTCGCTGCCCCTTGCGCTGCTTGGCACAGGGCTTTGCAGCGGAGGTGTTTTTCCTTTGTGGGTCTGGCTCCAGTGCCTCTTCCGCCCCTCCACTAACAGGCTGGTTCAGAGGGATCAGGAGCCCCTTTGGTTGTGCTAGATGGGGCTCGGAAAGGTACTACGTTCCCTCCGCTTCTCGGGCCGGAGAGCGCTCGCCCGCTGCCCGCCTCCCGCTGCTGGAAGAAATGCCATAGCGGACGAGCTATTAATAACCTGCCTGTTAACTGCTTCCACCATCTTCCTGAAGCGCTCTGCTAGTGCCCAGACCCCTCTTATGTGCTGTCCTGCTATTTCCTTTGGCCCTGAAGGAAATATTTATAGCGCATGGCTCATCCCTTTCTGCGACGAAAGGCGAGGATTGCACTCGTGTGTATGTGTTTGTGCCTGTGCCGCGGCTTCACCCCGAGCTCGCTTCGGAGAGGCATCTGAAACGACCCCTGGCTCACCAGTTTCACGGTGTCCCACCCCCTCCTGTGCCTGCTGCTGCCTCCAGCTGCAGCCCCGTGCCCGGGGGCCGCCGGCCCTCCCTGCCCGAGCTAAACGCTATGACCTGGGAACTTATTTCTGCCCCAGGACCCCGTGCAAACCCCACGACTGTACTCCCGGCCCTGCCTGCGCGCTCTCCCCCGCTGAGAGAAGTGGGTTTTTGAATGCATCTCGCACAATAGAGCGCGGGATGAGGTGGTTCAGGTTGAGTCGTGCAGGGTCTTTTTTTAGAGAGATCAAAACGCGTTTCAGTTACTCCCCCGGAGCAAGCGCGAGCTCGTCC